CCTGTTCCCTCCAGCTTGTCATCATCTGCAAACTTGCTGAGAGTGCACTCCACCCCAGCTTTCAGGTTGTTGATGAAGATATAGAACAAATCCAGCCCCAGGACCAACCCCTGGAGGACTCCACTTGACGCTGGCTACCAACTAGACATTGAGCAATTGATTTCTGCCCTTTGGGTACATCTATATGTGCAAATGCTCTGGGGTGGGTTTACTCCAAAGTAATTTACTCTAGAGTAAGCCCACCCCAGTCAGGCATCTACAAATGCAGGGAAGCAGAAGCAGATTTGCTGCTCATGTCTGCAGTTTGCTTCCACCCCCAGTAGCCCTGCACCAACCCCATGCAACAGCCAAGCTCCCCCTGGGTGCTAGTCTGGCAGCTAGTACTGGGACAGGAGATGACATTGCTTCATGCCCGCAGGACATGCTGGTAGTGGAGCCTGCTGTCAGGGCAGGCTCCACTACCAGAGCCCAGGCAGGGACACTGTCCCCCTGCCACAGCAGCAGAGAGCTCCCAGCCCCTGTTCCACAATTGCGATTATGAAGCCAGGACTGGGAGATTTTTATCTCCGAGCCTCAGCTCCGAGACTGTGGAGCTGGAGCTGGGAAATTCTTATCTCCTAGCCTCAGCTCCACAACTGCATAGCCAGGGCTGGGAGATAAGAATCTCTTGGCTTGGAGGTCTTGGAGCCCAGCCGTAGTTCCACGGTGGCAGAGCCAGGGCTGAGAGATAGGAATCTTCCATTCCCCACTCCGTGGTCACAGAGCGGGGGCTGGGAGTTCCCTGCTGCTGGGGCAGGGAAATATTGTCCCTGCCCCAGCTCTCACCCTGGCAGCACGCAGCTCCTGGGGACAAGGAGTAATCTCCCACCCCCTGCTGTCTGGCTGACCAGGAGCACATTCGCTCCCAGTCAGCCACCTGTACGTGCCGTATTGTGCAGTAATTACTCCCAAGTAAATTTGCCATTTGTATTTATAGGTAGCAAATTTATTTGGGATTAGAGCAAATTATTGCACAATGGATTTGATGCAGCACCGGTTTACTTCCAAGTAAACTATTCATGAGTAAATATTCCCAGTCCTGTGTCTCCATGTCAAGGAAAGCAGGAGCAGATTTGCTGCTAATCTGCTTCCATTTCCGCCACCACTGGGGGCAGCTCCAGGCTCCAGCTGCAGCTGCAAGCTCTATTTAAAAGCCAGCACCTCTCACTGCCCCTTGATGTGTGTAGCACAGGGACAGCACACAGCAGTGCTCTCCTCACCACCTGTGCCTCCTCCCACCATGGTTGCTCCAGCCTCTGCCCCTGGTAGTGATAAGCATTGCCCTGTGTTCCTGCTGGTCACCACGCTGGCCCTGCTGGCCCACTGCACCACCCATTGGCTGACCTTCAGCCATCTCACTCCTCCCAGCTCCCCCACATGCAGCGACTACCTGCCTGCTCACTGTGCACTTTCCCACCACTGCACATTTGCTGCCTTAATCCTGTCTGCCTGGCTGGACTCCAGCAGGGATGCTGACCACAGGCTCCAGGATACCACCACCAGGGCCACTATCACCCTCCTGGGCCTCCAGCCTTGTCACCTCTGGGACCTCCTGGCCAGCCAGGATTGGTGGGTGCACCTTGTCCAGCACACCTGGGACAATAAGCAGTGGCTGGAGGCATTCTGAATGACCTGGGCCACCTTCTAGGACCTCCTGGGGCAGCTCTGGCCACACCTGGAGTGGCAGGATACTGGCATGTGGCCACCCCTCCCCACAGACACCCAGCTGGCCCTTGCCATGCTCAAGCTGGCCACATCTGCTAACCTGCTGTACGTTGGCCACCCATTTGGTGAGGGCAAAGCCACCAGTGAGAAGGCTGTCTTGGAGGTGTGTGGTGTCCTCCAGGATGTGCTGGGGGACACTGTGCTCCACATGCATGACTTCCTGCCAGTGGTGGCCGGGTGCCATGCCCTGGGATTCCCCCAGTGCATCAGGGCCCTGGACGGGATCCACATCCCCAGCACCTGCCTTCTCTATAAAGCTGGAGGGGCTTTCACTCCATAGTGCTCCAGGTTGTCGTGGACTACAGCAAGGCCTTCACATGTGAGCGCTGGCTGGGCAGGCAGCACCCATGATGCCTGCATCTTCAGGAACTCTGCCCTGCCAGGGCTGGGGGAGAATGGGTGCTTCGCACCAGAGGATGTCAGACCTGCAGCTGGGCACCGTAGTGGTCCTGCCCCTCATTGGGGACCCCACCTATGCCCTCCTGCCCTGGCTTATGCAGCGCTACTCCACCCAGCTGGACCCTCATCAAGCTCACTTTAACCAATATCTGGGCCAGACCTGCACCTTCATGGATCGTGTTTTCAGGCAACTCAAGGGCAGCTGGCATACCGTCACTGCCCACCTCAAGTTCACCAAGGACAACCTCCCCCAGGTCACCTTCACAGCCTACATACTGCATAGCATTTGTGAGGCCTGGGGGGTATGTGTGGGGGAGCTCTTCCACGAGGCCTGGGCGGAGGAGGCACAGCGGGTGGAAGATGTCTGGTAGTGGAAACACCACCTGCAGTGGCAGAAGTAGTGGTGGCCACCCCCCGGTGAGGCCCCAGGAGTGCTGCAGACCTGCCAGTGACGGCTAGGGCACTGGGTGTGGGAGGCGTTGGCCATGCAGCACTGTGATGCGAGGCAGTGGTGCTGGGGTGCAGGCAGGCTGGGGCAGCTGGGCTGAAGCCTGCCTAGGGGGACACAGGGCCTGGAATTGCCTCAGGCTGCCTGCTGATATGCCCCAGGGCTAAAAATGCCTGCAGGCTTTTAAAGGTCTGAGGCAGGAGCTGCCATAGAGGCAGCCTATCCCTGCCTGGAGCCCAAGAGGTACCTAACCTGAAGCCCTGGGGCTAGCCTCAGGCTGGCTCCCTAGTTGCAGGTTTTCATCTACCCATGCATTATTGCACAGTAGCTAATCATGAGTAAATGTGATACCTGCATTTGCAGATCAAATTTATTCATAATTAGGGGTTTTTACTGCACAGTAAGCATGCACATGTGTAAACATCTGCTTACTGTGCAGTCAACTATACTACTGAGCAGTTAAGTTTCTCATGTAGACGCACCCAGTGTCTTCATGTGTAGACAGTGATGCTTACTGTGCAGTAATTTGCTCTGATCTTGAGTAAAGCATCTCTTGTAGATGAGCACTTTGAGTCCAACAATTCAGCCAGTTTTCTTTCCATACAGTCCCTTCACCCAACCCATACTTCCTTAGTTTGCTTGTGAGAATGTTGGTGGAGACCATATCTAAACGTTTGCTAATGTCAAGGTATATCACATCCACCCTGGTCTCCCTGCATTCACAGAGCCAGTCATCTCATCATAGACGGTAATCAGTTTGGTCAGGCATAACTTGCCTTTGGTGAATCCATGCTGACTGTTCCTAATCACGTTCTTCTCCTCCAAGTAAGTACGTAGAAATGGATTCCTTTAGGACCCACTCCATGATTTTTTCAGGGATTAAGGTGAGGCTGACTGGTCTGTAGTTCCCCAGATTCTCTTTCTTCCCTTTCTTAAAAATGGGCAGTATATTTTTCAACCATCCAGGACCCCTCCTAATCACCATGAGTTTTCAGAGATATTGGCCAGCAGCTCTACAGTCACATCAGCCAACTGCCTCAACATCCTCAGGTGCATCATGTCCAGCCCCAAGGACTTGTACACATCCAACTTTACTAAGAAGGCCCTAACCTGCTAATGAAGTTATACTATATGAACTGCTAAGTAGTTTTAAGTCCAAGTGTATGTGGCTGGGCTGATTTATCTACACTGTGATTTCACCTTAAAATCTGCTAAGCCTACAATAGTCTGTGGTAGAGCTCTGTACAGCCAAGTAGAAGACCCATGCTTAATTCCCAACCATGATTTCTCCCTGCATCAACAAGTGGTGAGAATGAATATGCTGTGGAGGAAATGCTTGAAGAGTATGTCAAGAGTTGTCCTTGGCATCTCATTCCACTGAAGGAGGCATTCATATATAGTCCAATCAAGTTTCCTTCTTTCTCAGAAGTGGGATGTTTCAGAGGGCCCCATGTAAGAGAGTAGGAAATATGGTTATGTTTCCCAATATATCTTATTTTTCTCCACACTGAAGCAAAATTGGCACTCTTGTGCCAATGCACTGGACATTAGAGACTGTCCTTACCTTGTCCTATGAATGTACGTGGTCGCTATTATTTATAAAGGGATTTAGCAAAAATAATTTGTTTTTTAAAGGAAGTACATGGCTACATCTGTATTCAGGACAATGTAAGTAGCCCATGATGAAGTAGTATAATATTCATGTGCTGTTTTAGAACAAGCTGTACAGCCTGTATTTTGTTTTCTATTTTAGTTTTAGGCTGCTGCTATTGACCATCACAGCTACAACCAAAATACCTCCTGAGCATAGTCTATGAGTGCCTTCCACATAAAATCATTATCAGTAGCAGGGTCCCTTAGCAGATTTTCCAGTCCAGAAAAAAAAGGCATTTTTTTCCTTTTTTGGATCAACAGTCTGCATGGGTTTAGATTTTTAAAAATGTTTTGGCTGGTAGAATTTTCTGGTTTGTGTAAACTCATGAAATTCCCATGAATTATAAAAAAAACCCCAAACCCCTTTTCTCTTTTTGCAGGTAAACATCCTACACTTACATCTAGGCAGGCAGGCTAATCTAGTGGTCAGACTTCTACCCTGGGTATCAGGAAAGGTGGAGTAAATGTGATTCTTCTATTCTCTGTTCTGCTACCACTCTATTGTGTGGCAAGAATCATCTTTTTATGTATTTGTACAGTATGTAGCATAATGGGGGATCAATCATTGTTAGAAAAGGATGGAATAGATAATGACCCACTTATGATAGATATAAGTCACATCGCTGGTGGAATGTGCTCAGTTATAATGGAGTTGAGAGCAGTGTAAAATCTATTCAGGGTGATATAGTATAGGTGTTACTGCCATATAAATAATAATATGCCAATATTTTTCTAGGGTCTGGTAAATGTAGTCTTTGAAGACACACTTAGCATGACCTTGGTTTCTGATGGAGCTGAGTGCATTGTGGTATCAAAGGAGTTCTTCAAGAAGCACATGACTGAAGACTATCGCCAAAAATTATGCACATCTGTAAGTCTTGTTAATCTAGAGCTTCTTGCATTCAGACCACAGCAATTATCTAGAAATGTTACAGGTTACCCTGGGGTAATTCAGATACTTTCAAACATCAGAGTGCTTGCTGAACCATGCTCACTGCAGATGTTTGGTTATGAAGTCTTATCCTTCTGTGTCAAGCCATTTTCCTTCCTGAGCTGTAACTATAGCCCAAGAATACAAGCTCTGCAAAACAGCGCATCCAGAAATGGTGGGCAAGGGCTATAGAAATAATCGGTTTGTGCTGGCCAGTGGTACAGACTTCCTGACACAGTACTGGTTTTTTTTTTAGCATCGTATACAATAAGGCAGTTGGCATATAGGTAAAGTAAAAATGTCTGCAGTTAGAAGGGGTCATTGTGCTGTATATTAGGTCATAAAATAGGAACAAAACCCTTTTAGCCCAGGAACATAAAATATTGTGACTTGAAAGCAACCAAGATTGCTTGGATTCCAGGAGTAAGTTGTTCCTTTAGAGGGAGTTTAAAAAAAAGACTTGCTACACACGCATGACATAGGGCACACCATTTCTGATATCCTTGTGTTTTCAGCAATGGACACCACAAATTACTGGCTACTGGAGATTTATTTTCCTCAGACAGATGTACAAGGTGCACATTTTCTTCCTGGATAGCATAGCGTACGACCCTGTTCTGTCTTTACAATGTGCGTACTGTGAAGGGACCACAGAGGTAGAGCAGGATTCAGGTAAGTGGGGATACACAATATGCAAAGCCCTGCTGCATATACCCACCCTGCTGCTCTGACAGGCTGCTGTGAAGTCGCAGAGCCACTAGAGGGCCCGCAAACTATTTAGATTATAAATTTTAGATAGGCCAGAGCCGAGGAAGGGACCTTCTGGGTCATCTAGCCCAGTACAAGGCTTTCACCGGCATACAGCCATACAGTTGTGTTCATAAGTGGATCAAGCTCAAGCTTTAACCTAGTTAGGACTCTTGTCCCCATGTCTTCTAGTGGTAGGCTGTTTCAGAACCTCACTCTTTTGAGGAGTTAGAAACCTCCGTCATATTTCCAGTATAAATGTTGTTCGTGGACAGTTATTCTATTCCCTCAAGAATATCAGGGCTGCCAATATCTACTCAGACCTCCCAGAAAGATCAGATAATACGATCACGATCAGATAGTACCACAACTCTTATCCCATAATCACAAGTATCTGTGATAATTTCCCTCACTGATGTTTTCCTTCCCACACAACAGACACATTTGAAGAGAGGATGAACTAATGTGTACACACTATAGTACAGAAAAGAAGAAAAGAGCCACACCTTTTTGAAAGAAAGTTTTAAAAGATATCCTCAGAGGGGTGAGAATATTTAGAATCGTTCCTTCCGGTGTCTGGTTTCAATCACTGCTGTTCATGAAATCAGGTAGGATGTGGAATAGCTATTTACAGTGTCCTGTGCAAAGTAGCTATTGCAGTGTTGAACCTCATAGGAAAGTAGGGCTGGAAGGGACCTCACAAGGTCACATCCTGTCCAGCCCCATGCTCAAGGCAGGATCATTCCTGATTAAACCATCCCAGCCAAGTGTCTGACTTCCCTGCTCTTGAAAATTTGGAAGCATGGAGAATCCACATCTCCTGCTAGCCTATTCCAGTGCTGGATCACCCTTGTAGTCAGAAAGCTCCTGCCATCTCCATCCTCTCTATAATCGCCCTTCAGGTATTAGAAGACTTATCAAATTCCCCCCTCAGTCTTCACTTCTCCATGCTAAATAACTCTAGTGCTTTCAGCCTTTCTTCATAAATCTTGCCTCCCAGACCCTTGATCATTTTGCCTTCTGGAAAAAAGTATGTTTTCATAAATCTGACTAAACGTTTTCCAATAATAACTAAAGTAATTAGAAAGAGAGAATACTCCTTTGGATGGATTTCCTCATTTAGAATTGCAGGGGGAAAAAGACGTTCCAGTTGCTTGACTCTTAAGAAAATAATCTGTCTGTTCTCTTCCACTGAGGTATTTGCAACCAAGAAATACTTTTTCTGTAGGGAAAAAAGAAAAAAAACAACAACTGGTAGATCATAGAAAAATCCGCAGCAGGACAAAACCCAAACAGGATTAATTTGCAGGCAGGCAGGTAGGCAGGCAGGAAGGAAGGATTATTTTGTACAGAATTTTGTTTATCATGGTGTTAGCAGGGGGCAGCTCAGAAGAAGGCATCCAGGTATCCTTGTTTGGGCATATCAGATTTGCCTAATGAATTTTTAAAGTAATGATTCCATCAGTTCTAAGCCAGGAAGCTCAGCAATACCAGAGTTGGCAATATCCACTGAGACTTCCCAAAGGGAAAATAGTCACACCCAGTCTTTAAAGTTTGTGGCTAGCACCCTAACCATGGAACCACGAACCCTGTCTTTATGTTTCCATAGATTTTGATCATTTTCTCTCATTTGGCACATCAGTCTGCCATCTTTCTGAGTATTAGCACACATTCCAGTCATTGTCATCCTCAGTCTCATCCATCCCTTTCAATTGTGCGTTACACCTCCTTTGAATGGGGGTGTAAATTAAGAAAAGATTCAATTTCAGCTACATCAGTACAGCCAGACTGATTACAGGAGTGGAACCTAACTTAGGGGGAAGTTACACATTACAGTTTCATAGTAAGAGCACTTAACAGGTATCTGTAGGTTAAAGCTCCTTAAGTCATGCTAAGTGCCATCTCAGCATCTCAAAATTAGCCACTTCAGGCAAGGGTTAACTCTGGGTTGTGCTATCTAGTTCCTGTTAGGGTAACTTCAGTCTACTTCGAGGAGATAAACTGAGCAATTTGCAACCCAGGGATGCACTGCTCCCAGCCTCCCCCAGCCTGGACCAGGGACAGAGCCTAGGTGTCCTGGCTCCTAGCTATGTCCCTGCTCACCAGCTCTCTAGTGGCATGTCAGAGCCATGTAGGCAAGAAACAATACTAGCCCTTAATGTGTGACCACTCACAGCACCTTCCAAATTTAATAATGCTTAACATTGCACAGATTTAGTATGGTCTAAGTGTAATGTGTAACTTCACCCTTATATCAATGAGGAGCCACAGTCCTATCAGGTATCTACCCCCATGCATTTGATTGTAGGAGCAGGTTCCTATGTTGTAAGTAATTTTGACATATGGTTTATTTTGCCTTTGTGCAACACCTTGCACAACAGGACTTTGATGCTGACGCAAATCTCTGAACACTAATGGAAGCCAGATACCACATAGCAGTAATAACTTGGAAGGCACAACTTTTTAACATTTCAGTAAGCAAAGAGAGGGAATGCGCTACTTGATAAAAATGTAAAGAAGCAGGGCCTATAATAGCAGAAATGGCTGGCGGAGAAAGATCAGAGATGTGTGCATATGAAATAAATGTTTTATGGAGTGGCTAATCTTGCTCACACCCACTCCTAACAGTTCAGACTCTTAAAAATCCTTTCCCTAACGTTGCTGGAAAGCTGTGCACCTCTTACGCTTTCCATTTGCAGTTTTACTGTCCTGCTGAATAACTCTTTGTTCACCTTCACATTCCTGGCGGGCTTGAATGTGTTTGCTTACAGAGTAATTAACTGTTCTGTATTCATTACTTCCCAGCTCTGACTTACATTTAGTCTCTTCAATGCAATTACCCTACCATATACAGTCTGTCAAATGAGCTACACCAGGCCTGTCCAAATTGTATTAAACAAGGGTAAATATGTGGTCAATTACACTATTACACGTAAGATTGGTATCAGTCCTTAGGAGCTGCTCTCGATCCTTTTGCTCTTTCCAAGTGATAAATCCCCCAACATACCCCTTTTATCAGAAATGTGTTCTGCCTGCTATTAGCAGTGAGTTAATTGAGCACAGAATAAACAAGATAAACAGAAAGCTCTCCATTAAAACAGCATTCAGCGGCTGTGACAAAAACTAACTTAAGATATAAAGAAACTTTAGATGTGGGGGGATGTGGGCACAATAGAAGGAAGCAACAGGCTACAATCTGACCTAGACAGGTTACAAGGGTGGGCGGATGAGAATAGGATGGGATTCAACACAGACAAGTGCAAGGTGCTGCACCTGGGGAGGAACAACTGGCACCATACCTACAGGTTGGGGAACTCCCCTCTTGTCAGCACGGAGGCGGAAAAGGATCTTGGAGTCATCATTGACTCCAAGATGAACATGGGCCGGCAGTGTGGGGAGGCAGTCAGGAAGGCCAACCGCACCTTGTCATGCATCCACAGATGCATCTCGAGCAGGTCCAAGGAGGTGATCCTCCCCCTCTATGCGGCACTGGTCAGGCCACAGTTGGAGTACTGCGTCCAGTTCTGGGTGCCGCACTTCAAGAGGGATGTGGACAGCATAGAGAGGGTACAGAGGAGGGCCACTCGCATGATCAGGGGGCAGCAGGGCAGGCCCTATGAGGAGAGGCTATGGGACCTGAACCTGTTCAGCCTCCAGAAGAGAAGGCTGAGGGGGGATCTAGTGGCCTGTTATAAACTAGTCAGGGGGGATCAGCAGGCACTGGGGGAGTCACTATTCCCCCGAGCACCGCCAGGAGTGACCAGGAATAACAGTCACAAGGTGGCAGAGGGTAGGTTTAGGCTAGATATCAGGAGGCGCTACTTCACAGTCAGGGCGGCTAGGGTCTGGAACCAACTTCCAAGAGAAGTGGTGCAGGCTCCTACCCTGGGGGTTTTCAAGAGGAGGTTAGATGAACACCTTGCTGGGGTCGTTTGACCCCAGTACTATTTCCTGCCGTGGCAGGGGGTCGGACTAGATGATCTACTCAGGTCCCTTCTGACCCTAGAAACTATGAAACTATGAAAGTTATAATAAGTGGGAAGGGGATTTATAACCAGCTCACTATTCTGCAATAACTGTTCATATGCTTGCTTTTACCCTGGGTCAGGAAACAAGACCAAGCTGTCATGGGTCACCTTTCAGTTACAGGGTAAAAACAACTACATGGACAGCTACTGTGAAGCAGCTGAGGTCTCCCACTGTAATTTTTTCATTTGTCTGTACAAATAGACCCGTCTGATCTCCCCTTCCATTCACTGTGCTCTATAATATTTGGGAAATCCTGGAGGGCAAGACCGGGTGAATTTCTCCCTTAGCAAAAACTGTGACCAGAAGGAGGAATGTGTAGTTTTGCCAATCCCAAACATTCAAAAGATCACATCTGGCTGAAAAAAAAATCAAAATGTAAAATCTCTGACATTACCTTAAAAATCATGAGGGTTTTTTTTAAAGATATATTTTTGGCTCTTCTTTGTCTGCCTTCTGCTTTCTGAGTCTTTGTGGTCCATCAGATCACATTTTAAATCTTTTCACTGTAACCAAGAAGGTTAGAAATGTACCAGCTTTTTAGACGAAACTGAGCTTGTCATGTAACCCCTTACTGAAAAAAAATTGATAACTACCAAGAATATTTAGCAGCCCTCTTTGGCCCTTTATAATGAAGGCTAGAGAGGTTCTAAGGGTCTGAAAACACTGTTTTTATGTTTCTGCATCGACCAGTTACACATACAGATTTTGTAAATTGTAGGAAATACATCTTCCACCCATAGAAATCATCACAGGGTGCAGAAATGTGGCCTATTAACACCAATGTAACTTTGCATAGGTTTATACACTGATATAAGCTACTTTGGTGCCCAGAAAAAAAACAGATGACCAGCTCTTCAAAGCTGGCTGCTTCATGATGCCTCATAACTAGGTGGCGG